TAGGCCCCAGATAATTAACTGTCTTTTGGAGGGGTGTTTCGGGAGCACTCAGCCCCTTTTCCCTCCCTCTCAATAATACCCCACTTTTATGTTCCTGATCCTTCACGGGCAAACTTTTTTGAAGATGTCTAAATACACTTTCACCACTACCTCACTTTATTATTCCCCCAAATCCATTGTGGTCCACAGATCTCCACAGAAAGCTTTCATAAAAGTAACCCACGACCTCCATGTCACTAAGTCCAAACACTTGTCAGACTCCTTCTCGTGTGACCTCTCCGGAGCTTCTGAGACCACTGGCTGCTCTTCTTGAAAAGCTCCTTTCCCAAGCCTCAGGAACACGGTCACACTTGCCTGGTTTTCCTCCCTCCTTTTTCTAGCCCTCCTCCTTTTCAGTCTTCCTTGGGCAGAATTCAAGGCAATAGTAAGAAAGCTGTTGTGATAATCTAAGCGAGAGTTAAAATGGTGGCCTAATGAGAGAGGTGGAGATGGAGAAAATGGAATGGTTCCTGGAGATGTTTTAGAGGTAGATGCAGGAATTGGTTATTACTTGGGTCTGGGGGTGAAGCAGGCACCCAGGTCAGTTCACCAGATTTCTGGCTTGCGCAGTTGCTTGAAAATACTGGTTACATTTTCAGAGACTGCTTCCTACTGCTCTGGGAATAACCACCTGAAGCCCTGCAGGCCCTCGATGGTGGAAGGGCCCCCTCTCCCATCACGCTCTTGGCCTTGGTTTCACAGCCCTCCTCCTTTCCAGTCTTCCTTACAGGTGTTCCCTGCGCTCTCTCGAGGCAACCTTTCTCATGCTAATGGATCCACTTCTGTTTATACTCCAATTATTTTTAAGTCAGTAGCTCCGGGGCAGATCTCTCTGGAATATTCCAGCTGCCTAAAGCTCTGTCCATGCAGGTGGCTCCAACACTGTACTCCACGAACCCACCTCCAAACCCACCTCCAGGCCAAATCCTCAGCTGTCTTCTCCACCTCCTAAATCAGACCAAACGCCTCCCATGGCCCCTGTACATCTCCTTCACGGTAATCTGTACATTTCTAATCTTTCAGACATGCATTAATGAAATGATATAATATCTTATGATAAACACGCAATTGCAATCCCAGAGTCTACCAAAGGCCTGCCATTTAGTAATTTTTTCCTCTGCTAAATGGGTGGTCTCTTCTCCAGGTACTAAGTCATGGCACAATTGGTTTTCATAAAACTGATTCTCTAATTCTGCTTCCTGCAATGATCAGTGAAGGAATTTTGTAAGTTTGTGGTGAGGAAACATTTCGGCATTTGAGATTTGTAAGGGTGAACATAACAATTTGAGAGCAGGGTCCAACTGGACAAAAGAAAAGATGTTAATAACAAATTGTTAGGGATTCACTAGGGCCAAGACTTCTGGGACTGAGTTGCTGGGAAAATGATGGTTTTGTGATGAGTCGCCTGGTGGTAATTAGTTGGAATTCACCTCCCTAGACTTAGGTGGGGAGGATAAGGGGGAACCCCTGGTCAAAAAGTAAATAAAAGGCTATAGCTTCTCACCACTGGAGGTGAAGTGTGTATGCAGATGGCAGAGCAGAGAGTCTGCATTTTCTGGATGCTTGTATGGTCCTCTGTCTAGTCTAGTGAGCAGAGAAATAGCCAGAGAGTCTCAGCAGGTGAAATATCAGCAGCCAAGCCCAGGTGTCTGTGCTCTGGCTTCTGGCTGCCCAGATGAAGACTGACTTTCTGATGCCAATTTGGATTAGTCCTGACTCTATAAAAGCTGGCAAATCGGATCCCAAAATTAGTTTAAAATGCACTGATTAAAGCTAATCACTCTTATTTTTCAAGTATGACTGTCTTGCCAATGGGTTTCAGCCCCAGGCAAGTTTGCTATGGATTCAGTGTGACCAAAGAAAATGACAGCAAAACGTTCTTGGGGTGAAAGGGTTATACCCAACTTTATTTCCAGGTGGCAGGTCAGTCACTAGAATCCCATTCACACAGAGAGCGAGTCTGCGTGCAGCAAGCCCGTCTCTGCCTCTGGGTCCCTCTGTCTGCACAGCCGTCCTCTGGGCCTCTGTCCTTGGTGCTGCCACTACTCCAGCCTCTGCTCTGCTCTCCTGCAGCCTTGCAGCCGTGCCACCATGTTGTGCCCAGAGCACTGGGTGGAGCTCTTTTTATAGAGTCAACAGCCATGTATTGCCCACAGATGTGCAGTGAGCTAGGTAACCACAGCAGGTGAGAATCCTGGCCACAGGAACTCTCGTTTTATCCACACTCCACCCCTCCAGGATTCTGTCCTCTCAATCTATGTGCTCTTAGTCCTCTGCAATGGTCCCTGTGCAAGGAAGCTCAATTACTGTTCTCCAACCTCTCCAGCAAAAAGTTTTGCAGACACACAGGCCGGACTCGTGGCTCTGTTTCTGTCGTGACAATGCCTCTTTGGTCTTAATGGCTGGAACTGCTGCTCTGGTTTCAGTTGTTGCCATAGCTCCAGTAAGATCCTATTGGGCTTCCTCTCTAATTTTCTTCCATTTGCTCCTACCTGTATCAAATCAACCCACATCTGGGTCCTCGTAACCCTCATGGGGCCTGTAAATTCTTCTTGTGAGTAACAGGTCTGATTTCTTTCCGGACTCTCGTTGCTTCTGCCTCTCCTAAGTCTGCTACTGTACGTGTCACCTCACTTACGGGCTGCCCTAAGTGAGGGGAAACAATGGTCACTAGAGACCCAAAGAGGGATATAGGAGTCGTTTGAAGTACAGTATTTCTCATCCCAGTAGTGAAAATCTCCTCATTTGGGCCATAATTCTCTGGACTATAGATGGCATTTCTCATGCCTAGCTCTCATAGCACCTGTTGGAGCTCAGCATACATCTGCCATCTAACAGGAGAGGATGGCAGATCACCCGGATTGGGCCACACAGCACGAAGTGCAGCCATAAGCCAATCGAGGAGGGAGTGACTTCCTGGGGTCTGATGTGCATTTTGTCATCGCTGCCTCAAGGCGGGCTGCACTGTCAGGGAAGACAGCTTGCCCATCTCTGATCCCGAAAGAGCAATTCCATCCATCCCTAAGTCCCACAGACACAGGAGCCAAGCTGATATCGACTCCGAGGTCTTCAGCCTAAACCAGGAGCCCAAATCCACCAGCCCAGCCTGAGTATAGGGGCGGACCGTAGAGTGCTCCACGGCCTGGGGAGGGGGCTGCTCCTCTCCCTGGGGAACTTTCAGCTGCTGGGTCTTTATTTTCTTTACAACCACTGGGCGTGCTTTCAGTACAGGAGGCGCCAGTGCCTCCGGCACCACCCTTCATCCTGCTCCAGTCCCTCCATTTCTGGGGCTGATGGCACCTTTCTCTCCCCTCCCCCGAGTGCCTCCTCTGCTACAACCTTTACGTTTTCTACTGTGCCTCGCAGCAATGCTACCTCAGTCTTCAGAAGGTCTCTTACCTTCAGCTCAAGGCTTTGCAGCTGACGTTCTCATGCCATCTCTGCCTGTGCTTCCCTCAGGGGCTCGTCTTTTTCCTTGATGGCCTCTTCCTCCTTCAGAACACCTGGCAGCGCTGCTCCTTGCTGCTGGTGCTCTCATGCTGCCTCCTCCCACATCCAGGCCATCTCCTTCCTCAGGGCATCCACAGAGGTTTGCAGCTCGTGTTCTAGTGCCATCTCCTCCCACATCAATACCATTTTCCTCCTCAGGGCATCCACAGAAGTCTGCAGTTCATGTTCTCATGCCGCCATTTCTTGGGTCTCCTCTGTAGACTTTTTTAATACTGTGAGAAGCAGCCAACCCACAGTCCCCGCTGCCTCACGGGCACTCTGCTTCTCAAAGGATCTGCTATTATACCAAGGGCCACCCCTACTCCTTCAGGTGTCACCTCCACTTGCCTCCAGTCCTGGGGTGGGGCCCAGTCCTCTAGGAGGCAAGCCACCTCAGACCACATACCCATTGGGGGATGATCCACTGTCTCCCCATTCACAGGGGCAGCCCGCTGAAGCACCCCTGCCATAAGGGCAGCTTATCTTTTTCCTTGGTCAACAATGAATCCTGCCGACTATGCCAATTGTCTTGCCAATGGGTTTCAGCCCTGGGCAAGTTTGCTATGTATTCAGTGTGACCAAAGAAAATGACAGGAAAACATTCTTGGGGTGAAAGGGTTGTACCCAACTTTATTTCCAGGTGGCAGGTCAGTCACTAGAATCCCATTCACTCAGAATGAGTCTGCAGGCAGCAAGCCCGTCTATGCCTCTGGGTCCCTCTGTCTGTACAGCTGTCCAGACAGTATCCATTAAGGTACTTTTTCTTTTCTTAGACCTTTCTCCTTACTTTCCCCTGCCCTGTTATCCTGACAAATACCCTTGACTCTTCAGATCACAATTCCAGAGAGCCCTCCTCTTGCAGATATTCTGAGGAAGACAGTCTTGTCCCACCTATTTGTGTGTCTGTACCCCCGCTGATAAGGCTCAGGAGACCAGGGATGGTGACCTTCTTGTTCTAATTGCATTTCCAGCTTCTATCACAGCACCTGGTAGACAGTAAATATTTTTAAATGGATAGATGACTAACATAGTCTTGTAATAAGATTTGCTCTTTAAAATAAATAATATTGATAGAGTAATAATCTTTCCAGACAATATTTCTACATGTTTCTTTAAGAATGTCAAATTAAATGTCATATTTTTGCTATTTGCATCATCACTAAATATGAATTGATGAACTCCTGATGTCTTGCCAATGGGTTTCAGCCCTGGGCAAGTTCACTATGGATTCAGTGTGACCAAAGAAAATGACAGCAAAACGTTCTTGGGGTGAAAGGGTCATACCCAACTTTATTTCCAGGTGGCAGGTCAGTCACTAGGATCCCATTCACTCAGAGCAAGTCTGCGTGCAGCAAGCCCGTCTCTGCCTCTGGGTCCCTCTGTCTGCACAGCCGTCCTCTGGGCCTCTGTCCTTGGTGCTGCCACTACTCCAGCCTCTGCTCTGCTCTCCTGCAGCCTTACAAGGACCATACAAGCTTAAAAAGGCTGCCGTTGCAGGAGCCTGCAGGCCAAAGGAGCCAAAAGTAATTTGGTTGAACAGTTTCTTAGTTTGAGAGGGAAGGGGTAGTGAGATGAAGAAAGATAATCAGAGGTCATGTTAAAGGACTTGTGCTTTAGTAAGGAATTCCCATTTCATTCTGAAGGCCGTGGAGGGCTAAGAAGCAGGGCAGTGATTAAGGAAACTCACTCTGGCTTTCACGTGGAGAAGTGGCTGTCCTGGACAAAGTCAGAGGCGGCCAAGCCATGCCGGAAGGTGCTGCAGTACCAGAGGTGAGCCCTAGGTGGCAGTAGCACTGGAAGTAGGAATGGAGACAACTATATGAGGTAAAGACACATTCAGAGATAGGGTAGATAGTACTTGGTGATTTTGTTAAGTTTGGAAGTGGAGAAGAGGGAGGGTTTAGGTGCAGGGAAAGGGCACAGATGGCGGCTGGAGGCATGAGCTGCTCTGGAAGGTGGTGTCACCCACAGCCTCACACTCAGGGTTCCCAAATTCTCACGGGATTAAGGGAGGGCAAGCACTCCCTCCCGCTGAGTTGGGGAACAGTACAGGGACAGCTGCTCCTGATACCCAACTGGAAAGAGAAAGCACCTTCGCACCCTGATAACTCACCCTCTGGGTTTATCAGCACACTTCAGCCTGAGAGGATTTACCCCTAGAACAACACTAGAAGGTAAACATCTCTTGGCAAATCACCTTTTGTTAACACCGCTGAAAGGTTTTCTTATGTCCCTTTATTTGAGAAGAGTGAGGAACTTTCTCAGACAGTAAGTGCTACAGAGAATTATTTACCTACCTAAGAAGCTTGGGAACTTTTGCCAGGATGCTGCTCTGCAAACTGAGTACACCCCTGCAGAGCCCCCTCTTCCCGCGTCAGCGCCAGCAGCGCACCTGCCCTGCCCTCTTCCTCTCAGCTGTGAGATTATGGGCAAATTACCTGACTTTATATTTAAAAGGATTAGAACAGTTCTGGGAAATAATAAGTGCTACAAATGCATTAAAATTTCATAACATTTATTGTATTGAGTAGCTTAGAAAAATACCTTGAAGCTTTAAGCTCCTTGCTTCCATTTTCTGTACACTCCTTACTGGCCCTTTACATCCTGGGTGAACCTTTCAACATTCGACTGTGTTACAGCATGTAGTTACTCTGTTTCCAAAGCTCAACCGAACAGACTGCTTTTCATTTCAGACTGTGTTTGGGGCCCATTAGCCCAGGCTGTCCAGTCTGACCAGTGACGCTGACAGTGGTCCTTGATTCTCCTTCCCTTCAAGCACAAATGCCTTCTATCCCTTGGCTTTTCTCTATTAGTGATCCCTTGTGTTGATATATTATTTTAGGCCCTATTTTTCTTTTTTGCACTTAACCCCAGCATCTTTATAATTCATAATTCCTTTATTCTTTTTTTCAAGGGGTACATATGACACTTTGAAGACCAGTGTGAGACTAGAGAAGTATACAACCCCACACAGATTTGCCTCCATTCTAAGGCCATTCTCATTCTGAAGTTCTATCTTTTTAAATCTGGGAACACATGTTCATTTTGAGCCTTTTTTACCCTTCTCGTGTTAATACAGTCTAAAAGGGTCTTGTCAGGTAAATCTGTGTTATGCCTGGTCCAAGCACTGCCTGATTTCCTCCTCATTTCTTTTTGATACCCTGTTCCTGCATTTTTGGGTTTGGGGTCTACAGTCCTTTCTAAAGGAATTCTCTTATACATCTCCTGCCACGGGCCTTTGCAGATGATGTTTGTGCGCATATTAACCGTCCTATTCTACTCCAGTCAGTCATATCCTCTCATTGTGGTACTAAATGTTTTGGTGCCGTTAGACCCCTTGGCATTCTACTGATGCTCGGGGACCCTTTCTGAGGAGACTGTCTTTAAGTGGATATGTAAAATACATCAGATGACAAAGACAGCCAATGAAACCGAAAGGCAAATATTTTTTAATTGTGATGTAGTAATAAATGAGCTTCTTTATTGGTGTATTAGGTAATAAGATCTATCAGCAGGGCTAATAGCTGTTATTATTTCAGGATATTTGATTTTTACTGGTGAGGAAAATCATAGGTGCCATTAATATTACTGTGCTTTGTTGCCAACATTCCAAATTGATAGAAATAGTAATTTTCAGTTAGAGTTCAAGGAAAATAAGCATGTGGACATTTTTTTCACATCAAAGTGCATAGATCCCCTATATTCTATCCGTAGCTGCCTAAGCAGGTTTCTACACTCCAGGTTGACGACTCCTGCTATTGGCCCTTCGTACTTTCAGACTCAGTTCATATAAGCATCTCCTCTATAAAACTCTGTAAATTCACTGCGCTGTCTTGTACTGTATACGTACTTTGTTCATCCTCTATTACACAATATCCATTTATTATTAGTACTAGTACTATTATTACATAGTTTCCTGTATCTCTACTCTTTGTAAATATCTCTGCAGTTTTTTTTTTCCACTATCATTTTTTGGTATCCAGGACAGTGTCTGGCATTTTGCAGGAGCTCAATAAATATTTGTTTGATAAGTGAATTAAAACCTTACACAGCTTTGCTAAGTTTTCCCAAGTCTCCTTCTCAAGAGAAGGACCTGAATTTAAGTTATTCACTTCCTTAGGATGCAGTGTATAGCACTAAACTTTATATGAAAGAGGTGTGCTTTTAGCAGTGATTTTTGACCTAGTCTTACCTTAACTTTTTACTGTGCATGACATATACCTGATCTTGCGTGAAGTCACAGCTACCGATTTATAACTGATTCTTCAAAGTATTTTAACACCTTGTGAACATACAAATGGAAAAATTAATTCCATTGTTAGATAAAACTGTATTATAAAGAGTACCAACAAACAAATACATATTCCTATTTATAACTGAGAAAAAAAACCTGACAACAGAATATTAGTTGTTTACAAGGCACTTATTCTGAATAACATACTGGGACATTATAAATAACCTTAACTGTCAGTAAAAAATGTGCTCACAGAAAAATTTGTTCTAATGAGTCTAAATGTATTAAACTTACCACTATGTAGCATGAAACAGCTACTATTTAGTGTAGACTTTTATTTCCGTATCACCCAATTCCGTTCTGTATGAAGTCAGGCATCAAAGATCAGCTGAGGTTAGATAGCATGATGTTTTAGGCATTATTAGATGGTGGAGGTAGGCACGGTCTTTGATAAATAGTAATGACATGAGTTCTGATTGTGAGCAGAGACCGTCATACAGAGAAAACTAGGAGGAGGAGCCGTCCATGAATTTCTTGTACTTGGCCTTCCGCTAGTTCTCAGGGCTGCTGGATGGATCTAGAAGCTCGCCCTCTTCCCTGTCTTTCACACACAGACACACCCACACATTCTTTGCACAATCTCTTCTCTTCCCTCCTGTGTTGTCTTGGAGGAGAAGGGTCATTTTCTAGGTGACTACAAAATTCTTATAATTATATATCTAATTAATGTAAAATATTTACAAGACAATGTTAATTCTATCCCACAATGAATTTTATTTTCTGTGCAAAAATATATTTCTCCTCTGCTTCAAAAATATTTTTTATGTAGAAAATCACTGAGATAAAGGAGTACCAGGGCCCCTCTCCTCCCGCCGCCCCCCTCCGCCCGCGCCCGCCCTGCCCCCCGCCGCGGGGCCCGGGCCGCGGCAATAAGAGCGCCAGCGGCGGCGGCTCCCGCGGCTCCTGCTCTGCCCCGCCTCGGCCCGGCGGGCGGGAGCAGCTGCGCGATGCCCTCGGTCCGAGCGGCCCCGCCCGCGCCCCGCGCCCGAGCCCGCGCCCCGCCGCCGCCGCCGTGGGCTGCCTCGGACCCAGGGAGACCGAGGCCCGGCGCCAGGGGGAGAGGGCGCAGCGCGAGGCCCACGGAAAGACGGAGAAGCAGCTGCAGAAGGACAAGCAGGTCTCCCGGGCCCCGCGCCGCCTGCCGCTGTTGGGTGCGGGAGAATCTGGCAAAAGCACCACTGGGAAGCCAGTGGGGATCCTGCCTGTTAATGGGGTTAATGGAGAGGGCGGCGCCGAGGACCCGCAGGCTGCAAGGAGCAACCGCGAAGGAATGGATTACCCCAGATGATGGCTGCAGTTTACCATCTTCCCGGCTGTGTCCTGTCACACCTTGCATGCTGCAATTACCCCGCCTTAGAAACTTATAATAAGAATACTCTTCTGTTATGGGCGGCAAGGGATGGAGCCCTGCCACCTAACTTCTAAAGATAACTGAAAAAAACAAAAACAAAAAAACAAAAGAAAAGAAAAACCTTATAAAACACACACACGCAAAAAACCCCAAAAGTGAAATCCCTAACTGGCAAAAATGTAGTGTACCTAACCAAAACAGCCATCTTTGTAACGTGATTGACAGCTCATACTGTACCAAAAGGGGGCATTTAAGAAATATGATAAGTCCTTATTGAACAACCTGTGTGCTAGATGCTCTGCTAAAAACCCGTGAGCCCTACTAACAACTTGCCTGCACTTCCGTGAATCTGTTGTACAAGTAAATATAAGTATCAACATAAGTGATAAATAAAAATTATCTGCATGTCTCAGCAAAAAAAAAAAAAAAGAATATCAGGATTGTTGAAGTAAAAGCCATTCCCGATTCACTTTTTGAAAATTTCAGCTTTTTTTTTCTTTTAAAAATCCGTACCAAGTAAATGGAAAGAGACAATTTACAATGAAAAGCTGTGAGGATAAGTGAGGTCGGATGACCGTGAAATGTTTGGAAAAAAGCATTGTAATTATGAAGCCTTTTCTTGTTTTAGTAGCATAGTTAGGTTTCCCGTTTCAAGAAAGACAACAATAGAAACCTCCTGGAGGCCCAGGGAGGCCCTGGGAGGCTGTTTTCGTCCGCGGCCGTGAGCTGCGAAGCTGCGGCAGCCCCGTCGCGTCCTCTCCCCGCAAGGCGCGTGCTGTGGCTCCCGGAGGATCCGTTATTACAAACCCACACCGAGACTAGAGGGATTTGCGTGTCACCCAGGCCGAGATGTTCAGCCTTAGCCCGTGTCGACAGTCTCTCTCTCGCTGCCAAGGACCCGGGCAAGGCACTTCCTTCCTCTGTCCATCTCCTTCTTCCTCTCTTTTTGGCTTCTAACCGGAGAATGTTTTCCACCTTTATTTTCTTTTTCTGTTCAAGCCCTACAGCGCTGCCTAAGGCCAAATGCTGCAGGGATTAGAAAAACGAAGCGGCTAAGCCAAATCCATAGTGACAGACAGCGGACGCATAGAAATTTCAGCAGGTGCACGCACGTCCAGCTTTGTCTCTGGCATTGCCCACCAACATTAACATCACTACATTTCCTGAGGTAGGGTTCTCACAAAACAAAAATCAAGGAACTAACAAAGTGGTAGTCACGCATAGCCTGCAGGTTAATGAGTCTGCTATTCATTAATGTCAACCTGGAGTTCTTGAGTAGACGCACGTTTGGGATAGATGGCCCCACCCTACACAAGTCTGTTTGCCATCAGCAAGGCAGAGATAAGAAAACACACCTACTGCTCTTGTTACACCCTTCAGATAGCCTGCCTGGTCTTTAACATTAGGATGGCCTGTTGTGAGAAGATGGGCTGGAAACTGAGGCTACTGACCCAAGAAACAACCTAAATAAGACCATCTCACCTTTTGGGATGTAAATTATGTTTTCCTTTAAAAAAAAACCCTTCTGTTATATTGGTTGTGTTGATTCAAGTAATGATTTTCGTAGACAAATAGGGCATGTAGTTTAGAACATGGTGGGATTTTGAAAACATTCTGTAACTCTCTAATTGTGTATTTGTGTATATGTACATATATGTATGTGCATATGTATATGTGGCATTTTCCTTTTTATTTCAATGATTTTAGGGAATGGTACAGATATAGCAAAGCAGTGCTTCATACTACATGTGCTATTAAAGTTCATTTTGAGCTTTTACTTATAACTGGTCAAAACTAGTCAGTTTTCTGTTTTCCTGAAGGAAAAATCTTAGATGTAATCTTAGAGCCTAATACTCTGATGTTTTATTTTTACTGAGGCAAAACAAAATGAAGGCAATATATACCCTCACTGCATTTCACTTGTCATGAATTTACTGTGAATAGGCATTGAGTTGATAAGCATTTATTTTTAGTTTATAAAATTTCAGGGATTTTGATAAACATGATTTCTGGATTATGGGCTAATATTGTGATACTGTCACGTCGTCCCTGTTATTGGCTCGTGATTGATTCCCTCTGCCTTTGTCATCTCCAACATGAGGTATTCCCATTATAGTCCTCCTTTCCTCTTCTTAAGTACAATATTGTTCACATTGTCTCTTGGACAGGAAAGGTATTATTGTGGGAAGTAGCTTTTGTTTTGACACAGTGTGGCAAACCTTTCATTCCATAGCTTCCTGTCAGGCAGGCAGCTGGCTCTCTAGGCAGCTGTTGTTTTGATTTCAATGACGTGAGAGTCAGGGAATGTTTTCCTAGGTGGAGCCATATAAAATTGTCAATTTGGTAGGTCATACGTGACTGACTATTGTCAGTGTCATACAGTTTAGCCTAATATTTGAACTCTCTTTGGTAGTTTGACTATGTTTTCATGTTATTTTAAATAATGTAGCAATAGCAACTGAAAAAGTTCTGGTAGATTGTGGTAGTTAATGAGCTTGAAGTAACTTTTAAAAGGATCTAGGCTAGGATATCATCGAACAGTGGCATTTTCTCTAATAAATAGATCAGGTCATGTGATACCCATATAAAATGAATTCAGCATAAGGTAAGAATGCCAGGGCAACTAGAAATGTTCCCTTGGAGAATTAAGAAGTACATTTCTATCACGACATAGAACTTAAATTTTTACTTGAACTGTTAGCAACTGTTCTCATGTTTATCTTAGCCATCATATTTCTACAGAGATTACAGAGTTGTGAGTAGGAAATAATAGTGAATGGTGAATAACTCTGGTTTTATTTTATGAAATAATATGAAAAAAATATAAACTCAATTTCACAGCACTATATCAACTCAATTTTTCTAGTAGTTTAAACAAGTGTTCTCTTTTTGTGTGAAGTGAAAGTGCATCTTATTATGAGTGGCCTGTATTACTACTAAGTTAAGGTTAAGTTTGGATAAGGCCAGTGTTTTTAGTTTGTGTTTGTGATTGTAACTCATCTGTTCGTTATATATAGTCTCATAACTGTAGAGACAAACTGGCATTTTTCAAGGGTATGACAGTCTCTCTAGCTATTCCACAGTGAATCTAAAATCATTCTTTAAAAGGAATGTCTAAATTCCAACTTGGAGTGATTTTTTTTCTCCAGAACAAATATATTTTGTAAATATAGTAAAATATTTTGAACACTGAATGCCTTCTACTTAAGGACTCTGAAATTAAAGGTTGAAATTTCTGCCTGTTTTATGATTACTTCAAAAAATATAATGCAAAGTTTGAATATTAATTTTGAATAGAAATATTTCTCTATTAAGGCCCTAAAGTTTTACAACTTAGAGTTTTTTTCTAAGCTGTTCAGCATGTCAATTATTTAGAAGTTTTCTTTTGTATACAACAATGGGAAATCACACTTACATGTGAGCTGTTAAGAAATGCATCCAGAAATCAGAGAAGAAAAAAATAGAGATAGTCAACAGGTATTGAAAAGAAAATTAATGTTCATTCTTCTATAGAGATAAATACATATGTTGCTATTTTATGTTTCAAAATAGGTATTTTGTGAATGGAATGTTGTTTCTTTTCTTAAGTTGTGAGGACTTGGCAGAGTTTCTGGGTTGTCCCTGAGTGTATCTCTTCTCCCCTCTCTTGTCTTATTCCTTGGACTGTTACATGGGAGGACAGTTAGCAGAAGATCAGTTAAAAGAGGATCGGTAACTTGTGCTAATAGTAGTTGATGTGGAGTCAGCTGCCAGATAAAGGAAATGGTTTGGGCACAGCACACTATAGTTCTGTGCCTACAATGTGGATCTTTGCATTCTGTTTCACATGATTTGAAAAAATATGTATGCATAAAAAAATGTTTTTGTGGACTTTCTTATTTCCCTCCCCCACAGACCCTGCTCCAAACTTGGAAAGTTTACTTTCCAGTTATGAGTCTGTACTCTATGAAGGGTTACAGACAGCTAAACAAAAGGGTAATTTTGTATTTTCATGCCCTATGTGAATGTAAAGTAGGAAGGTTTTTTTGGATGGAGGCCAATGTCATATCCATCTGTAGCCTCAGTCAGGGTTGAGCTGAGACTAAAACACGAACCTGTGTGGTGAGCAGCTCAATGGAACCCAAATGAACATTTTATTTTATTATTTTTGTTATTTTGATATCATTAACCTACATGAGCAACATTATGGTTACTAGACTCCCCCCATTATCAAGTCCCCCCCACATACCCCATTACAGTCACTGTCCATCAGAGTAGTAAGATGCTATAGAATCATTACTTCTCTGTGTTATTCTGCCTTTTCCATGCCCCCCCTCACATTATGTGTGTTAATAGTAATGTCCCTTTTTCCCCCTTCTCCCTCCCTTCCCACCCATCCTCCCCAGTCCCTTTCCCTTTGGTAACTGTTAGTCCATTCTTGGGTTCTGTGATTCTGCTGCTGTTTTGTTCCTTCAGTTTTTGCTTTGTTCTTATGCTCCACAGATGAGTGAAATCATTTGATACTTGTCTTTCTCCGCCTGGCTTATTTCACTGAGCATAATACCCTCTAGCTCCATCCATGTTGTTGCAAATGGTAGGATTTGTTTTCTTCTCATGGCTGAATGATATTCCATTGTGTATATGTGCCACATCTTCTTTATCCATTCATCTACTGATGGACACTTAGGTTGCTTCCATTTCTGGGCTACTGTAAATAGTGCTGCAAACAAGCATTTCAACTCATCATTGTGATGATTCTTTTATGTTCTCTCCTAACCCCCTTGGGTGAAGGAAGTACAAAGCATGCATGACATCTTGAATTTGCATTTACATATCCTACAGGGGATGAGATGAAGCAAAATCCCCCTAAAAAGAAGAAAACTGGTCTCAAACCATCCTTGGTGTGGCCCTACTTGTGACACTTTAATCCAGCCATCTTCGAGCCAGCAATACGCTGACTTCTGGCAACACTCTAGAAGTGAGCAGTATTTTGCCTTCTCCCAAATTATCTGATCTATTTTCCTTAAAAAAATGAATTTAAAAAACCCTTTTCTGAATGTGGCCACTAGAGAGGACAATCAGCTCTGTTTTTTCCTTTCTAGCAGGTCACAGGAGAATTCTAGTATTTGAACACGGTGCAATTCAGAACATCTCAACATGAAAATTTGATTTTGAGCTGCACCAAGTAGAGGTTTCGGTGACACTCGAATGGTGATCTGGCTTTGCATCTGCTGCGTTCCTTCCAGGGTTGAAGAGTCGCTGATTTTAGTTGATCAGAGTAGTGGTGGAGACATAAGGCTCGGCTCTGACCGTGGTCTGATTGCACGTATGTGAGCCCTGGCTGCACCGCCTCCCGCTAACATAACTCTGACAGCGACTTGAACCTCCTAAGCCTCAG